AGGTATTTATGTTAAAGCAAAAGGAAAGTGCTGGGGAGGGTGCTGAGAATCAGGTTAGTTTCTGCCAGAAACCAGGTGGGTTCATGTTTAAAGAGTTTGGCTTAAAAAAATACATGATTGTAAAATTATTTCTGCATCACAGGCTAGTGAGGCCACCAATATTAAGGTTATACAATTGATCTGGATTGCCAATGAGTATTGTTAATTATGTATAATTATTATGTATAAACATGTCTTTGTTATGTATAAATACGTACATTTTCTCTGTTTTCTCAATTTATTTAAAAATATACTTTACTGAATCAGATGCCTAATCTCTCTAAGTTCTTGTAGTTGTATACAAAGCACAAGCTTACAGTGCAAAATGTTCACATGAAAAAAATATTTATTGCCCCTGGCTGGTGTAGCTCAGTGGATTGAGCACAGGCCCGCGAACCAAAGGGTTGCCGGGTCAATTCCCAGTCAGGGCACATGTCTGTCTCTCTTTCTCCTTTCCTTCTCTTATGTCTAAAAATAAATGAATAAAATATTTTTAAAAAATATTTATTTCTCTTTCTCTACATTTCCTTGCTACATACAAAGAAACCAAGAGGAAATTAATGAAGCTATAATGATGTAATTAAACATATGGGTTCTCTTTCTTAAGAGGAAATTTTACATTTAAGCCTGGGTCAAAGGCAATAAAAAGACCCTAATTTTAAATTCATACACTGACACAGACAGTTGCAAAAAAAGAAGAGTGTATATCAAAAAAGCTCTAGAGGAAAAGTCCTCTATCAGTGCATCTTCCACATTGATAAGTTCATGTAAGTCTATCACAAATATATGTAATGATGCAGCATCATGAATTTGTTATTAATGATAAGACTAAATAATTTACATACATGTGTAGTGTACTAAAAGAGTATCAAGCAGTGGTTTCACAGTTGAAGAGATATTTGATATTAAGCAAAAATTAAAAGTTAGTAAAATATAGGCAAAATTCCATTTAGGCAACATATAGAGGCTTGATAAAAAGTAGTGCTATGCATGACCCCATAATTAACCCAAATCTTTTAATATTCACTAAGATTCCCACACCAGAGCCAAGAATATTTGGTCTACAGTTGCTTCTCCCTGCTATGTTACTGTAGCACATTATGCTTATCTTAAATTCCTGATTTGTGGTAGAACTTATGGATATTCCCAGTGGGATCCTCAAAACTCTTAATTTGTTTACATATTTTGGCTTCTTTCCAGATTTATGTGAACAGTATCTGATCCAAGAAACAAACAGGCGGAAATGGCTTTGAATAGCATTCTTTTACTATCAGGTCATACACATCCCATTCAGTAAAACAGGCAACTGAATTCCTGAACTGGGCAGTTCAATAATACATTTTTCAAAACTCAGGGGGAGATTAAAGAGAATTACTTTCTATTCAAACGAGAAAAGAAAAAGGAACTATGAACTTAATAGGGTCTTAAAAACACACACAGGATGGGAAAGAAATTCCTCCAAACTATTGAAAAAATGAGTAACATACAGATTTTATCATCTATTTCCTCCTCCTCCTCCTCAAAGGGATGTTTTGTTATCCACTTAGACTGAAGAGCTTACTTTCAACCAAATTAAGGGCTCAGATGTAAAGAATAGGAAAGGGAAAAAAAAAACCCTGACATACCAACAAACCAACCAATTTCAATAGTCTATTTTATAATGAGGAAGAACAAAGAACAAAATAGATAGCTCCAAAATGGCAAAGTTCCAGAAACCTCATTCGGTTATTCTACTAGATGCTGTGCCAAACCTCATCCAAATAACCCAATTATTACAGTCGACAGACTAAGGGAAATTCTTACAAAATTGGCCTCTATGTGGAATCTCAAATCATGTCTCCACTCGGGTCAGAAAGATCACTAGGATTGCCTTGTTGAAACTTTTGCCTCTGGGCTTAACTGCAATTTTACAAAATGGAAAATGAGGGAATGAGTCCAGGTATAATTCTGGATGTAGATTTAAATCAGATTTTAAAAAAACTTTAAGTAAAAAATAGTCCCTCCTTACTATAATCTACTTCTTTGAAAAACTGTCCCAAGCGGAGTCAGAAATTCTGGACTTCCAAACTTAGTTTAGCTTCAGGAGTACTGAGTATGCCCGAAATCTCTGCATCTGCCTTTCTTCAATTGTCCTATCACAAAGTGGATGAGGACCTACCTCACAGAGACCATGCAAGGATTAATTAAGGGTAAACTGGAAGAAAACAATTGCATTCGACAAGCCAGGCTTTATCCATGTTGCTAAAGAGACCCAGATGTTTTAACAACTGTCCAGATTATTTGGTAGCGCCCTAAGTAGAAAATAAATTTGCATAATGCTTTTCAGCTGTGAAGACATTTTTAAAAATTAAAGATTCCAGTATTTCAGATTGGAAGAGAAAAACAATCTGTCTCCATTCAGGTCGGACTCAGAGTGAGCACCATTCACCCCACAGTTTTCCCACTGAGTAAACATTGTGAACACACGTGCTTAGGAAAGTCTCATGGCAAGAGACTTCATACTTCCTCATGCCTGGATATTCCCTAACCTTCCTTTCCCTCATAAATACAGTGGTAGAGTTTTAACTTCTCTTTCCCCATCTTTCTGCATTGCTGAGACAAATGGCTATATGCAACGCTGATTCATCTCATCAACGCTATCATCTTACTCTTTCCTTATCCAGGTGCCTGATTATTCATTGCCTGAGGAAATCCCAACAACTCAAGAGCTCACAGAGACAGCATTGATAACAATTGTCTGTGAGTATCAGTCTTTGCAGATTTTCCTGCCACATGCAGATCCAAGGATGTTCCAAAATCCGTTTGTGTGTTGGGGGTGGTGATGGCAAAGGAAAAAAAAGAGACTAGAAACACTGCAAGTACAGAAATAAATTTTTTTCTCTTGATATTCAAGAAAAAACAAGATTCTTGGGATTTCCATGTTAGAGGGTCATACTTTAAGGAATCTTGAGATAATATGTTTTGTAATATTGTATAGCAACAAACTTAGGAATATAAGCACTGAAGTTAGATAACCAAATTTTGATCTCATTTCTTCCCACTTGCTGTTTGGGTGACTTAGAATAAGTCATTCAAAATGTATATGCCTTGGTTGCCTCATCTTTAAATGGAAATTGGTATACTACCTAGTACATAAAGTTATTATGAAGACAGTAAGTTACATGTATGTAAATCACTAAGAAGAATTTCTGGGACATAGTAGTCATTTACTAAATGTTAATTATTTTTTAAATTATTTTTAATTCCCATATTTTAACTCAGCATCATTTTGGGACAAAGAAATTTTCATCTTTTTTGAAAATCTTTCTAAAACACTCATGTCTATTTTGTCTTTTAGTAACTATTGAATCGAGAAAGAAGCAGTCCTCTGAACCTCCTAGCACTGGGGAAGCATTTTCCTGACCAGCATGTCCCCTGGCCTTAGCAAAATGTGTGTCGCCAGCTACATCCCAGACTTGTGAGGGCAAATATACCAAACACTGCCACGGATCTTTCCTCCAGCTTACCAACTGGTGTGCGATAAAAAGATTCAAAACTTGCTGATATTAAAAAACATGGAACATTCATTTATCTCACCTGTCTGTCGGAGGCGGACTGAACTGGGCTAGGTGGTCCTGCTAATCTCAGCTGGACTTGCTCATTCGCGTGCTATTAGAGATCAGCTGACATGGGCTCTCGTTGCCCTGGGCTCGTGTCGCCTCCTGGCAGTGGCACCAGTGGAAGAGAGCAGGCAGCAACATGAATGCTTTCTTAGGGTCCGGTCTCTGTGGCGAACTACCATTCTGACTCACTCTATTGGTCAAAGCGGGTCACGTGATGAATCTCGAAGTCAAGAGGTAGAAATACATTCCTCCTAAAGAAGCTAAATAGAGGGAAAGAGTATTTCTGAACACTAATTCAACCCACCACTCTCAAGCCATCATTGTTAAGTGATTACATTATTCTTTTCCATTGTATCTGAGTATCGGTTTTATAGTGTTAGCAGCCACTGTAAATGCAAGTAACCTGCTAAATATATGGGAAAGCAGAAAAAACCTAATTGAGAATTCTGGTTTTGCAAACATTTAATACATTTTGTAGAATAATATATCTGGATATAAAATTCTATCTACAATATAAGACATCATGTTGGTATATTTTCAGAACAAAAGGTTATATTTCATCATTCAATTGTAACTGAGTGACTGAAAAGATATGCGTCTATGTTACTGGAGGGCAAGTGGGGGCCTGCTGCCCACCACCACCCTCCCGGGAAGATTCTGCAAGCAGAGGTTGGGTGGTGAAGGAAAGGAGTCTTTATTCAAAAGCTACACAATTGTGCAATAACAACTTTCCACCTGCATTACTCACTTAAGCCTATCAATGAAGGCTAAACGCTTTACTTACAGCCTTAATCACTTATGCCTATCACGTAAGGCTAAAATCTTTAACTCCTCAGTTCCTCTACCATTCCCCCTGTTTGTTTTTAATAATCTTATTTCTATAGGATTAGTTTACAAACTAAAACAACACAAGATACAAAAGTTACACAGTTTTAGAAGGACGGCAGGCTTCTGCTCAGAGCCCATCCCTTCAAGAACACCCCCCAAAAAATAACCCTGCCCCCCTGCCAGGCCAGCCTAATCTGGGCGGTGCAAGGAATTTCTTCTCCAAAATACCATCCTTTGGGAAACACAGGCAGCTGCAGCACGATCATCCAGGCATCCTCGAGGAAGAGAGCCCAAGAGCCAGCCTCTGCCCTCTTATTTGAAGTCTTTTGGGCCATAATTCCCGGCAACCGGAAGGCATTCAGCTTCTCCTCCAGTCCCTTCATAGACTGTTCACCACTGCCTCCGGCAACCTCCTCGGGCGGCCCCTCCCCTCTCCTCCCCAGTGATCTGATCAGATTTCTCTGTACCACATATAAATGTAATGAAAATTGACAACTGATTTTAAAATATCAATGTTTTATTTAGTTATTAATTACTTTTGTTTTGTAGACTATATTGAGAATCTTTAACAGTAATTTGTTACTTTTTACTTAAAAAATATCCATACATTTGCACAATTTTGAAACTAAAAATGTGTGAGAACATATATAAATGTCATGATGCCAAAACCCCCTACACAGCCACTTCTAGTCCACTTATTTTAGACCCTACTAATGAATACTAAAATGATGTGCATTTTTCATTTATTCTGTTCATTTTTGAATTAAACTTTAAAGCTAACTTCAATTTTTCTTCTTCCAAATGGCTTTCTTTACATTTTTATTAAAATATTATGATTTTGCTTGACATAATTAGTTTAAATATTAAAAGGAAGTAAAATTTGCAGGTTCAATATAAGAAAATATTCTACTACAACTTGATTTTATAAAATAATCATTGGGTTAATGCATATAATGGAAAAAGTGATTATAATTATAATAAAGTAGCATGAGAAAAAACACTTTTTTGTTAAACCAATGCAAAATGTTTAAACTGACCATAGTAAGACAGGTTGGAATTTTATCTGTATATGAGTATACCTGCTGCACATGATCTCTCAAATCGAGCACTTCAATAAAAAAAGACTACCTCCTATTAGTATGTCATTAATAAAGTCATTGATCAAGCTGTTAAATATCTAAAAGGGTTATCTTTAAATTGCATTTAATGAACTAGCATATGTTCAGGAAAAAGCCTTTTTACAAAACTGTCCCCAAGTAGAAAGCAATTTCAGGAACCTGAGGCATAATTACTATTATTTTTAATGGCCTTTGAAAAACAAAGTGAAAATAGACAGTTTTCCTGAAAGTAAGCCTCTGAATCTTTTTTTTTTAATCTATACAGGCTGATTACAAACCAACACATTTTTTAAAAGATTTTTATTTATTTATCTTTAGAAGGGAAGGGAAGGAGAGAGGGAGAGAAACATCGATGTATGGTTGCCTTTCATGCATCCCCTGCTTGGAACTGGCCTGCAGGGAACTGGTCTGCAACCCAGGAATGTGCCCTGACTGGGAATCGAACCACAATTGTCTGGTTCGAAGGCCTGTGCTCAATCCACTGAGCTACACCAGCCAGGGCCTGAATCTTTTTAAACAATAGAAACAGCTAATTTATCTTTCTCCCCTGGTCAATAATTCCCTCCACTCCTTTCACCCTTAGGTATAATTTTTGTGTGCTGGAAAGATGGCTAGAAAGCCAAAAGCTTCAGGACTGATGCAGCTGATGCAGCTCTGTTTGTTGGGTGTCATCCCACAAATGGAAAGGTCCCCGACTGGATTCTGGTCAGGGCACTCGTCTGGGTTACAAGTTCAGTCCCTGGTCAGAGTGCATTCATATGGCAACCAATCGATGTTTCTCTCTCACATGGATATTTCTCTTCCTTTCTCCCTCCCTTCCCATCTCTCTAAAATCAAACATCAAAATTAAAAACAAAAGTTTCAGGACGTTCCTCTGGTAATTGGGCAGAGCCGCCCCTTCTGTCCATTCCTCCAGTGCTCACCCCCAGCCTCTGGCTGACTTCCCACGCACAGCCTCTCTGCCAGGTGTCCCTTGCCAGCAATCACAGTTTACAGTGGTCTTGACTTTAAGCCCTGGCTTTTGTTACTAGGCAGCCACATGGCTTTGAGCAAGGTAGTTAAGGCTCCTGAACATCACTTCCCATCTAAACAGTAAAAGATGTGGGGGGGATTTCATTTAATTGTTGCCAAGCCTGTGAATCACTTGTAAACTATAAAGAAAAAAATAAAATAAAATTTTATGATGATGGTGATGATGATGGTAGTGATTAGTTTAGACACAATTTAATATTTTATTAGCTAAACCTCATTACACTAAATGTTTCCAATTGCCTAGGGTAAAGTCATACTGATTACTCCCAGATAAATTCTTGTCTGGTGTAACATTCCATTATTAGGCTGAATCTAAGGTACTCAGCCAACACTTGGTCAATACAGTGGTTCTCTTGTGCCATAGATACGCCTTCCCTGCCTTGAACTTGAAGACACTCGCCCTCTCTTTAAAACCTTGATAACATTTCCCCATTTGCCTTTATACACAACTTTAAATTCTTAAAAACATGTTCACCTGAGGACTTCAACAGGCAGAAGGTGTGAACCTTTCATAACACAGCTGACCCACCACCTAAACAACAGAGACATTCTACCCAAAATCCGCACATTGCCCATATACAGCCACCCTCAGGATTTGAATTAAGTGATTTATTTTATGTGAGAACATCCCTAGTGAGAGAGAGAGAGAGAGAGAGAAAGTGGCAAGCCCAGAAGCACAGGTAGAAATTACACTGAAAAAGCGCATTTCATTTAGAGGAATGAATTGCAGTAGTTACTCCACGTCCATTGTCTTCTACTCACTGCCACTTACATGTGAAGTACAAACTCCCCTGCTAATCGTCACACTTGAGAAATATAAGAAAAGTTATCTGACATGTTAAAAAGATATTCCACTAGGTAGATATGTTATAGGAAATATTTCATGCAACTTTTATAGTTTCCATGTGTAGCCTAAACCCTGAATAATCTGATCTGATGTAATATTAGAACATGCATGTAAATATGGAATAAAAGGCATCTCTAATGACTGGATGTACATAATTACACAATGCAATTAATATAAGGGGAATCATCACTATGTAAGATAGATGTACCAGTGGAAATTTGAGAGAATAAAAACCTGCTTTACAAAGCAGCATCTGTACCAAATGAATAATTAATAATGTTCTTGGACATGCAATGACTTCCTGATTTTTAAAAGACTAACTTGAGGTTGACCAGAATAACTTCACTTTTACGAAGTTTCCCAGGCTTCTTTAAAATTCATTCAGAAAAACCAGAAACCCTTTAAAATGAATAAGAATTATATTAAATCAAGGAGTATATTACATCTTGTTTAGGGATCTTGAGTAATGTGAGGATCAATGGTGAAGATATTTGAACCAGAATTCCCTACTATCTACTGTTTTACTTTACTTTGTTTTAATGCATGGAAAATCAGAACACAAGTCAATATCTCACGGTGAGAGAACAATTTTAGAATTAACAATAATTCTGAATCTTATCTATTAATTTTATTTTAGTGTCATTTATTAATTAACACAGAGATAATAGTTCAAGATTTCCAAATTCTCATGCCTTGGAGGATTAGCTCACCCATTATCATTTCTATTTGATCCTTCATGCTTTTGTGAAAAGATTACATGAGGGCTATTATTTTCCACTTAACTACTCTTTTCTGGGTCAGGCCATTTATATTTTGACATTCACAAAAAAGTAAATTTTAATTTCACAGATACAAACATTGATCCACTTTTATAACCCGAGCATGATATTCTACAAACTGTGAAACACAGAAGACAACTTAGACATTCTACCACATACAATAGGTAGGGAAGCATGAAAGAGATACAGTACTTAGACAAATGTTTCTATAAGCTCAGTAGGTAATTTTCTCTGTGTTCTTCATGCTACCAGAAGCTGACCAATGAATCCAGAGTTTCTTTCCTTGATGAAGGTGGTAATGATAGTGGCACCTTGCCTTACACTCTCCTGTAGCTTTTGCTTGTCCTGAGAAAAAGAAAAAGGGATAAAACCATATTTTAGGAAGAGCAGATGTCACACACTAAATTTAGTAAAGAGTTACTTTTCAAAAACCATATTTACTTAAGTATTTTCCCCAGCCTAATGAAATATAATTGACACATAATATTGTATAAGTTTAAGGGGTACAGTGCAATTATATATGTGTACACACACACACACACACACACACATATGGTCGGTCTAGAAAGTATCTAGCCATGTACTATGAAAAATAGAGACACGCATTGAAGAAGATGCAAGATACAAGAAACATTGTACATAGGGCAATGATGCCTTCAATGTAGGCACCTTGGGACCTCACACAGTTCTCCCAACTGTAGCACATGATCCTTCTGCTCTGATAGCAGAAGCCATGGAACAAATTTTGCCCTGACACGTTTCATGCCAAGATCCTACATCAAAATCTCAGGCACAGTAGTTTTTGGAATCCCCAGATCAGCTTCTAGTTCTCACACTGTCAGTCACTGATCTTTATTGATTGCAGCCCGTACACGTTCAACATTCACAGGTGTTCTGTTGGTTGCAGGCCTTCCAGAACGTGGATCACTTTCTAGAGATTCTTGACCATCTTCGAAGCATTCATGCCACACTTTTATTTGTGCTGCATTCATTGCATCATCCTAAAAGCCTTCTGAATCATCTGATAGTTTCCAAAGAGGAACATTCAAGCTTACCACAAAATTTGATGCAGATCCATTGCTCTACTCACACGTTTTGAATGCAACAGCCACACACTACACATGCTCACTCAGCAGCATCTACTGCTCCCTCTGACTAGTACAGTGGAGTTGTCATTGTTTATGCATACACATTCCAGTCCACTCTCCTTAGCTGCCAGGCTACATTGATGTTGCACAAACTGTTCTTGTTATATTGACAATGGGTGGACTTTTTCTGTACAGACCTCATATAATGAAGTGATTAAGGAAATAGTTATCACATGTATCACTTCACAGAGTTACCATTTTGTGGGGTTGGATGTATGAAAACACTTAAGATCTGCTCTCTTAGCAACTCTCAAGTATGCAATACAATTCTGCTAACTATAGTCACCATGCCGTACAATTCCCAGAAATCACTCTCCTTGTAACTGGAAGTTTGTACCCTCTGACCAACATTCCCCCATTTCTTTCCCCCTCAGCCCTAACAAAGACCGTTCTACTCTGTTCCTATGAGTTCAAAAAGCCACATTTCACTGTCTGAGGCTCTCCGGCCTCAGCACTCTGCGGCACTCAGACCAGAGCCACAGGCAGGACCTCAGTCCCCTGGATAAGGGAGAAGATCTTTTGCTGAAGATAGCAAGAAAAACACTGAAGCAATTTCAAGGGCTGACACTATGAAACAAAAGATTTGTTTTCCTTTAATCCAATAGCTGACTGACTTTGGCTCTCCACTGAAGTGTGGCTGTCCCGTTGACAATCAGCACCTTTGCTCTGCCTTGTTTCCGAGTGATTTCCAAGGACAGACTGTCACAAATGGTGAGTGCCGGTGTGGGGGGATGAGGGAGAACAACCGGGGAGACCTGCTCTTTGTGAAGTCAGGATCAGGCAAATTTGTGAAATGAGTTCTCTCCAAGTTGCTAAAATGGGGTTTTGCCTTTGAAGTCATTTTGGCTATTAGAATATCTTTATCCTAATCATTGAGGTTTCTTGAAGCTACGAAGAAATGATACTGTGAAGGGAAAGGGAAAGTGGAAACGAAGCTCATATCTTTAAGTCTCTATGTTAAGAATTGTGCTGCGTTCAAAAGGTGGGATCTGGTAACCAGTCTCTGAACTTGGCGTCATCCTGAAAGCCTTATCCCAATGCTCAGTGTGTCTCTAGGACCTACTGCTTCTAAATCCTTCCCATTTCTTGAGTTCACATACTCCACTCCATCTTGAACTCACATGCAGCCACTGCCAGCACAATACCTCTGTCCTGAATTACCAAACAACCTCATAAACAGTCTCTCTAAGGCCCTACACTGTTCTACCCTGTTTCCCCCACCGCAGTCAAAACACTTACTTCAAAAAAGAGATCTGATCGCATCGCTATCCTGCCTAAAATCCTCTGAAGGCTACTTTGAAACTCCAGGTTCAAGTCTGAACCCTTTACCTGGCAAAGACAAGAGTCGTGTATATCCAGCCTCTCCATTAAAGCCACTCAAATCTCCAGGCCACACAGAACTGTTTAGGATTGCTCACACGAGCTGTTTGTTTTTCCAAGCTTCATACCTCTGCACCGGCTAATCCCCTCGCCGGAAAAGCCTTCCCTCTCTCTTCCCAGCTTAGCTGACCCTGGTTAGCCTGTGTGGTTCCATCCAGATAGCAGTGACTCCTGCAAACTGTCCTGTCTCCTGTCCTCTGGCCCAGTTTGGGCGAGGTGACTGTTCCCACAGCTGGGAATTCATCTAGCACACTGAGTTCTAACTAGTCTTTTTAGTTGACCATTTATTCCATCGCATGATGTTGCTCGATGTAAAGAATTTTTCATTTTATCTTTGAATATGAAACACTTAGCTCAATGCCTAACACATGGTAACACTCCATAAATTATAACAATTCAAAGCAAAGGAGGCCCTATGATAGAGATATCATCACCCTTTCAGTGTAACTCATTTGTTAACGATGACCACTATTTGGTTACTTTGTTTACTCCTATTTGCATATTTAGCCGGAAGCCTTGGCAGTAGTACAAAGAAGAGCAGTCTCTAAGCTTCACCACTGCCACCAGCCTCCACCAGCCCAGGCCTTGGGCTTCTCATCTATGAGAATGGTGATGAGAGACCACCTCCATTACACTACTCCTTTCATCCATTTCCCAAATTAAGTTCTAAAAGGTGAAGTGGGGCAAGACACGCAAGGGGCTGAATGGTGGCCACTTTGGCCTCTTGCTTGTGGGTTTCAACGACATTTCAGCATTTCAAATGCGGTACTGGTTTCCGAATATCACAAGACCTAAATCACACAAAAACAAATGATTCTAAAGCCAAATATTCTTGGGCTTAAACTGTGATGCACTTACATGCCACATCATTCATAAACAAAGAAATAATCATGCTAAAACTGAACAAAATGAAAACTAACTATATATATGTATTTGTCACTCTTAATGATTAATTAATTACAATGTTGCAGGGTTTATAATACACATCTACTCCCAGGTCTTATTTATTAAATTAAGACATACAACAGATGATGATAATTAAAATTCCCCCTTCAAAAATAAACACAAAAAAGGCTATCTGTACAGCTTCTTTGAAATCAGTTTGGAATTGCCAAAATGAAAGCAGAATAGTAACAAATGAAGAAGCAAAAGGGAAAAAAATCTATTTAAGATTCTAAGGATAGAAAAAGCACCTTTCCATATCTCCGAATAAATTTCTATTCTCATTGTGGTATTTCCATAACTTGTATATCTTTAGATAATAAAGAATTTAAGTATGGATGTTCTTTTAAGGGTTCATTTACTTGTGCACGTTTTATAGGCATCATTTGGAAAGGTTAGAAATCAGTGAGAAGGACCTGTGTTATTCCACTGACTGTGTGTCTTCTCTCTGCCTCAGCTCGATTGCTCATTTTTCCCTTGAAAGACATGGAAATTGAAAACTGGTTAAACAAAACAGTGAGGCATACACAAAATTCTAGTGTGTACAAAGAGCACGCAGCCCATCTGTGTATGGGTTTCAAACTCGTCCCACAATTCTGTATCTTTATAAAAGTATTGATAACACAAGTACAAAAAATGCAAACTCAGATGGGTCTTAAAAAGCATTTCTTGATGCCATCAGATAGCCGAAACAATGTGTTTCATTCTTGACAAGGATGGAGAGTGAAGGAGCATTGTAGGTGGTCATTTCAGCATCATTCACACATGTGTATATATATGTATATACATGTACATTCCTTTGTGTGTCTAAATATCACATCATAAAAGTGTTTAACTGCTAACACGAAATAAGTAAGGTCAACACGAGACTGAAAAATCATGTTGATGATAATGCACTCTTTCTTTTAAAGATTTTATTTATTTATTTTTAGATAGAGGGGAAAGGAGGGAGAAAAAAAAGAAAAATATCCAAGTGCTGCTGCCTCTCAAGCGCCCCCCACTGGAGACCTGGCTGCAACCCAGGCATGTGCTCAGACTGGGAATCCAAACAGCAACCCTTTGATTCACAGGCCGGTACTCAATCCACTGAGCCACACCAGCCAGGGCTGATAATGCACTCTTGATAGGATGTGATGTAAATGGCATTCACCTTTGTGGTCTTCCTCCCCCAAAACCCATAATCCCGGTCTAAATCACGAGAAAAACATCAAACAAATTCCAATAGAGGGACCTCCCACAATCCATCTGCCCGGTCCTCAAAACTGTCAAGCCGTCATAAACAAGAAACTGTCACAGCCAAGAGAAACCTAAGATCTGACAACTAGAAGTCATATGGCATCCTGGAATTCCAAAAAATATATTAAGTAAAAATGAAAAAAATCTGAATAAACTATGGACTTCAGTTGCTAATAGGGGAAACTGGATGCAGGGCATATGAGAACTCTGTGTGATCACCTCAATTTTTTGTAAATCTAAAAAGCAAAATATTACTTTTCAAAGAAAAGGTAAGTCCATATTTAATTGTGGAGTCCAGAATGGACAAGAAAGATTTGGGGAACAAGAAATCATGATCAATTTTCATTGTTTCATGTGACTGTGATAAGCTAGACCTTGCAAAAGTATTGAGGGGAAAGTGCCTACTCAAATACCTCCAATAAAAAATGAAGAAAAATGACCAAAACCAAATCTGTTAGCAGTTTATTTACTATCCTTAACTCTAGTGATTTCTAGGCTTCAGATTTTCCTTAGTTTCTACTCACAAGCCATAAAGAGATAAGCAAGCTATAATAAACACAGCACACCAATGCTTACACACCCATCCATAAAAATTACAAACTCAACACTTGTTGAATCTAAACAAAAACAAGAATACCT